TCTGCCCCATCGCCTGCCACCCAAGACTGACAGCTCACTGACGGGCATTTCACATTTTGCCCTCCCCCCGACCCAGTGACAGGGGCACTCTAGCTGAGAAAGCTGAGGTTAGTGACTGGCCCAGAGTGGGGGGCACAGGCGTCTGACCCCGATCTGCAGCAGTGCTGGGGCCTCGAGACTGATTCCCGCCTGAAGAGATCGGTTTTCCTCTCGCCCCACAGGGCCAGAGGGGTGGCCTCCACAGGGCCAGAGTGGTGGCCCCCTCAGAGCAGGGGTCTGGCCTCCCCGTGGGCGAGGTCTCTAGGGGCTCAAGGTCCCACTGCCTGGAGGGCCTCCGGGAACCGGAGGGGGTCCTGGCCCTTCCAGGGTCCCCTGGGCTGGGACACGTGGGTGTGGACAGAGAGGGCAGAAAGCAGGGTCCTGTGGGCACACACACACACGCGTGCACACGGGTGCACATACTTACACAGCACACGCGTTTACACGGACAAGCACACACACACCATTCCCTCCCCATCTGCTCCTGAGAGACACAGGCCGCCTCAGCCACCACGTCCCTGGCAGGGCACCTCCAGCTCCTGTCCTGGCACTGCCTGGGGGGTGGCCTGCCGCCTCTGGAGGACCATGGACAGCGCTCAGGGGACCGCCTGGCCAGCACCCCTGGCCACCTGACTGGTGACCGCAGTGGTGTCTGGTGGGATGGGTCCTGAGAGGAGGCCACGCCTCGCAGGGACAGTCCCAGCCGCTCCGAGGGCTCCTCAGGCCGCCCAGCCCCAGGGCCCGAGGCAGTTGTCCTTTAGGGGAGAGGGTGTCCTCCATGCAAGCAGCCCAGTCACCATGGCAACAGCACCCAGTGGGGCTTTCCTGGCCCCTGGCAGCCTGGAGGCCCCAGGGCTGCCTGAAGCCTACGGCCCTGCCCGCCCCATGTCCCCAGGGCACTGACTCACAGACGCTAAATATAGTGCCGATCGGGGGCTGTCGGGGAGCAGGGGGTGAGATCACCACTTCTAAATCCAGCAGAAGCCAGAGGCAGCCGGGCCAGGTGCCTTCCCACTCAGCCCCCACCCGCACACAAGCCCACACATGCACACCCCCTGCAAATCACAGTTCACACATGCACCCAGGTCCACACACAAGCACAGACACACCCTCACAGATCTCACACACACACACACACACACGCTCATGCGATCACTCACACCTATGCTGACACCCACCCGTGCACACTCACCAACACATACAAGTGCACACATGGAACCAGAGCCACACACATGCGTTCTCACACTCACAAGCACATGCCAGCAGGAGCCCACCCGAGTGGTGAGGACACCGAGAGAAGGGGACACGAGGCCTGTTCCTCCGCCCCTTCTGAGGGCTCTGTCTGGAGGAGGAGGCCCCGAGTGGTGACCCCAGTAATGGGACCAGGCAGCCCAGTGCTAAGCAACAGGGGTGCGAGGGGGCGAGGGGGGC